TGTCTGTCTGTCTGTCTGTCTGTCTGTCTGTCTGTCTGTCTGTCACACACATTCACACACGCACACACACACACACACACACGTACATACACACACACACACACACACACACACACACACACACACACACACATACAGACAGACACACAGAATTACACGAGCAGACTCACACACTAATACACATTCACAATAAGATTAACATATCCACCTTCTCACACTCCGCCCTTCCACTCCACACCTCCATCCATCTATCCATCCATCCACTCATCCACCCCTTCTTCCCTTTCTCCATCCATCCATCCATCCATCCATGCATCCATCTATCCATCCATCCATCCATCCCTCCTTTTCTTCATCCATCCATCCATCCATCCATCCATCCATCCATCCATCCATCCATCCATCCATCCATCCATCCATCCATACATCCATCCATCCCTTCCTCCCTTTCTTCAACCATTCATCCATCCAGTCTCACCTGGAGGTCACCACCAGCATCCAGCTGTACCAGAATATCCCCCGGTTGTGCCTCCCTCTTGTCCTTCACCACCCTCATCAGCAGGTAGCTGGTCACTCGTGCATTCTTGCAGGTCTCGTCCACCACGGGGGCAGGGGTTGTGACCGGGAGCACCGATTTGTTTCTTGATAGCTGAGGTAAAAATGTCAATTTGTCAGAAGAAGATCTCATTTGTACAGCGCCTATTTCCGCTCAACAGCAAGCTCTATGTGCTTTTCAATGTGTATAATTACCCCAGCAGACCTGGTAGCATTCCGAAACAATCACAACACTCTTGGAAGCATACCGTGCAAGCTGCTATTTTATATGTGTTGAAGCACTAACATTTTGGCAAAGTTTTTCGTTGCCTGGTATCCATTTCCACCTGGGTGAAGTGAGACTAATTTGTGTAAGTGTAAGAGCCTGAACACAAAGTTGGGCCTGACATTCGAACTGGCATTTGTAGCAAAACTTTAACGCCATTACAGCACACACTTTTTTTTTTTTTTAGAAAAGAAAGAATTAATGCTTTTTTTGTGTGTAGATCATGTCCAAGATCTGCAACAGACATCTCTGATCATAGACGGAACTGATGAGTGCAAATTTTGATCCCTGATTCGTAAGATAAGTTAAAAGCGTCTTTTGCGCAAGACATCAGAGTGGAGACCGCGGATTTGCGTGATAAGTGAAGTAAGTCCTGCGTGGAGGGCTAACGTTTACTTTTACCGAAAGGTAGCACCGTGTACAGTAACACACCCTGATCAGTTGATCACCGTTCGTACTTTTATCAAAAGGTAGCATAGTATATTGCAATAATTCCTGATCGACGTAGTTTTATCGAAAGTTAGCACAATATACAGAAATAATTATTCCTAATTGCCGTACTTTTACCGAAAGTTAGAACGGGATACAAAAATTATTCCTGATCGCCGTACTTTTATTAAAAGTTAGCACCGTATACACAAATAATTATTTCTGATCGATGTAATATTAACGAAATGTAGGATCGTATACAATAATAATGTTTCCTGACCGCCGTACTTTTATCGAAAGGTAGCACCGTACATAGTAATATTATTTCCCAACCGCCACAGTACAGGGCTCGGTTTTTTATTTTTCAGACAGTTACAGTTACAGAATAACTGTTGCTGGGCTCAAAGCCTCACTAGATATGTCGTAGGGCGATTCGAAATCAAAGTGTATTGTACTTGGTTATCCGATAAAAGATCGCGGGATGAAAATAAATCATAAATACGAAAAACGTGAACTTCCATTGGCAGACCACGTCCATTAAATACTTTGCCACAAAGGAAAAAAATGCTGTAAACAAATAAAATTATCTTAAAAATAATTCTCACCTCAAGTTTGGAAATTTGGTAGTTGTCCAGTTTCATGCCGAACAGAGAGGGCATGGCGTTTTGCTGCAGAGAAAACAACATGGGGATCTGCCAGTTCTCACAGACGTCTGACATGCCCTTGAAGAGGTCGACGTGGCAGTCCCAGATGTAACCAAAGAATCTGGGGGTTGGAAGAAAAAACAACATATAATTTGGATAATAAATGATAAATGAATAGCACTGCTGTAGTGCTTGCTCAACAGCAAGTTCTATGAGCTTTAGAATCTAATCTATATTATTACCTCAGCAGACCCTGGAATATTCAGAACTATTCTGAGCTTCCCATGAAGAGCACAAACCAACAGCTGACGAAGCGCCCAAATACCAACAAACTGACAGGGCCTATTTGGTTAAAGCCGGGGACACCCATTCCCACCTGGGTAATGTGAAGAAAATTAGCGTAAAGTGTTTTTCCCAAGGACACAACGTCGGACCCCTAAAGGGGCTCGAACCCACGACCTTTCGGTTGTGAGCACGACAGCATTTTATCCACAACACAACAAAACTGTTGAAATATCTATCTATCTATCTATCTATCTATCTATCTATCTATCTATCTATCTATCTATCTACTTACTTGTCGGCTACTTTGTAAAAGAAGTCAATGTTGATGTGGCTGACTCCACTCTTCAGGATTTTCTCTCCGGCCATCTCGTAACACTTGTAGGCCTGATCGGCCACATCGAAGCACGGGGAATCTCCTCTGATAGGTTTCAGGTGATCAATGATGTCTGGTTCAGGAAACACGGCGGGAAAGGGGGGGTCAAGAATGAGACACAAAAAAAGAGGGGAAAAGTTGGGGGGGGGGAGAAATAACAACAAAATAAACAAACGTGCTATCGCAACACAACGTATACGTCAAAGTAGAAATGGGCTCGTCACATCGGTAGAATGAAAGATAACAACTGGACAAAAAAATGCACTGAATGGAGAATAAGAACAGGTGAACGCTCAAGAGGAAGACGAGCAAGATGATTGCAAGATGGCATTAGAAAGTGGACGGGTGCAACCTGGATACGAAGAACAGCTGGGTGAACAGAGTAGAGGACTGATTATTGTTGGATGGCAAGGCCCTGCAGTGAATGGACAACGCATAGAAAAGTTAAAAGAGAGAAAGAAAGAAAGAGACATGTATTAGTGTACATTTGAAACAAAATAAATAATAGCTCAAAACAAAAAAGTGCGACCTCAAATCAAATCAAATCAAATCAAATTAAAATGCTTGTGAACAAGGAGAAATGTGAGAGAGAAAACGAAGGCGTAGAAATAAGTTTGTTTTTGTGTGTGGATAAGGCTGAACGCCGTACTACATAGTAGAGGTGGGCAAAATCCGGATAAACTATCGGGATAACCGGATAGTTCTCAATGAAACATTATCCGAATTCAGACTCTGTACTCTTAACTCTCTGTCCTGACCCGATTGCCGAAGCAGGTGCACCCGTTTGTTGAAAAGGTTCTAACCCGTTTGTCAATGTGGTTCTAACGCATTTGCCGAAGCGGTTCATAACATAATATTATTATTTGTCGTAGAGGTGAACTAACATATAATCCGGATTTTGCTAAAAGAGACTCATTGCCCAGCCGTACTACACAAAGCTGGATCGCCACAGGCTGCTTTGTAAAGATTAGACCCATGGATTTGTGCCCACAAGTCGCGAGTTTGCTCTAATTTAGAAAGGAAGATCTTCTCATGAGTATCCTCGCTCTTTCTGTTTTGGTTATTATACAGGAAGCATAAACATTGGCGACAGAAATGAATTAAAATGCACAGGAATAAGAGGCTCAAACAGAACCCAGATCATAGCCAGTGCCTCTATAAAGTATGAACAAAATACCAATGGTTCTTGATTGGCCGAGCAATGAACAAAGAGAAAAATAGTCACCCTAATCCCCCCCCCCAACAACCCTCAGCATCAAGAACAAAGCAACACCCCACATCTCCCCTCTCCCCTCCCCCCAAAAAATACAACAAAAAATCCCCCAAAAAGCAACAACCCGCCCCCCCCTT